GTCTGGTTTTGTTGACCGGAACTCTGTGTAGCTCAGTTTGCTGTTAAGCAGTTAATTTATAATTTCTCCAGTGCARTAACTGAGGTTGATAAATAGATGTGCTTGTGGCCGAAACTTGCAAAGCTTATGACATGCTTATTGTGTAAAGTGTTCAGATGCCAAGGCAGAAGAGGCTTGTCTGGACATATGGTGAAACAGTAAGAAGGGCATCCCATGAATTCAGAGATGTATACATAAAGGACTTCGTGAGATAGAATAAATGCTGTGTTTTATGGCTTGCACTTTATGATTATGTCCATGTCTTAATCTTTAATAATGACAATAATCGTTCTCATTCCAGATACTACTAATGCACTGCAGTTTTCAGCTCTCACAAGTGTCATTTCAAAGGACCTCGAATGGAATCCATTTCTTTCACAGTATTTACTGCAGTTACACCCATGTGCAAAAGAACATTCCTGCAGCAGGCCTGCCAGGACACTGAGTGAATTCCTCTCCCTTTGATTACACCAACTGGCTSCCAGCTTCCTTGCCTTCCTTTGAGCCACCACACTTACCACAGCTAATTGTCACAGAAGTGAATCACAGAATCATCAGGTTTGGAAGGGACCTTTATGATCATCAAGTCCAGCATGTCCGACCCTGTCAATGCACACTGACATCCCAAGTGACACAACCTCTCAGGCTCAGATTTCACCTGGCATATTATATCCATATACTTGGGGTAAAATTGGCATCTGTGAGAAATTTTGGATGATTTGCCTCTCCCCTACGTCAAGAGCACAGTGAGCTACAGACACTTGCAGCATTTTCCATTCTCTGGCAGTGCAGAGGCTCCAGTTACATTTCTCTCCCGGGCAGAACGCAGGGCTTGGTGCAGCACCGCTGTCGCCACACGGTGTGAGGGGATGACAGTGGCGGGAAACTGAGGCGGTGCCCCCTGCCACAGGGTCAGGACTTTTCTGTGGGCTTGCCATGGCTGCAGCGATCTGAACCCAACGCCCCAGGCGATCCCTCGCAGCCACACAAATTAAACCACTAGCATGTTTCTGTGTTCCTTTCAATCAGAACCCAGGCACACATCTGTCTCCCCGACCAGCTCCCACAAGGAGCTGGCAGGTTGCCCCTTTCCCCCTCCCGAAGCCTGGCTTTCTTGGCATGGGGGCAAGGGAACCTCCCGCAGAGCAGGCAGGCACAGCCCCCTTACCGCCCCGGCACACACAGCCTGGGAAATCGCGGCGACCCCGGTGCCAGGGCCCCCCTCAGTCTCCTCCCGTACCCTGAGGGCGGTAACGCGGCTCCTGCACCCCGGCAGCGCATCATCCCGTCCCAGCGGACCCGGGAACCTCAGCTGCGGGCGGGTGAGAAGCACAGACTGGGCAGGGAAGGGGTGAGAGGGGGGGATTCGCCTGCGGGAGAGCAGCGTTAACCCGTGACGGCCCCGGGCAGCGGCTCCGCAGAGAGGGAACATCCTCGCTCCAGCGCCCCGCATCCCCCCGGCTGCCACCGGCTCTCCCCGTTGCCCCGAGGCGTTACCTCCCCAGGCCCGGCCCGGCCCGACCCGGCCCGGCTCTCCTCACACGCGGAGCCCGCCCAGCGCCTTCTTCCGCCCCGGTCGCAGGCTGCTGACGCTCACGCCGCCTCCGCCCCCACCAGCTCTGCCTGGAGCCGGGGAGTCGCCGTCGCCTTGCCCGGTGCGGTCAGATCCAGTTCCCACAGTCCCATCGAGGCGCCTGTCGCCCTCAGCCCATCATGCCCGCAGCCCCGTGGAGGCTCCCGTTCCCATCAGCCCGYCGTGCCCACAACCGCATGGAAGCACCCATCCCCCGTAGCGCACCCAGCCCCTCAGGCCGTGGTGCCTCCAGTCCTATCGAAGCACCCGTCCCGCTCAGCCCCATCGAGACGCCTGTCCCCCGCAGCAACTTGCTGACCGCCCGCACCCCGTCCTCTCAGCGCTCCTTGCTGGGTCCTGAGGAGTGGGGACGGTCACTGACCACCCTCAGCAGCGCCCCGGCACCGCGGTGGGGTGCTCCTGCCTCGGACAATTGCCCTGCCAGTGAAACTTAACAGGTCCCAGTGGGTCACTGTGAAAAGCCACAATGGCCCCAGTGGGAACTTGGCATTCATCGCCCATTGTACGTGTGGGGTGTCTCAGGGGCCACTGCCAGCAGAGCTGAAGCCCTTTCTTCAGGGAATCACTCTGCTTTTGCCATTGGCAGACCAGACCTTCAAGGCCCGGGCAGGCAGCTTCCAGAACGTTCTGCATGCCCTTCCCCCAAGGCAGCCTCAGGRAAAGGCAGCTCGAGGCCAACCAAGCTCTTAATAGGGGTTTCATAAGGCTGCAGGAGAAACCACACTGTGGGCTCAGAAGCAGCAGAATTGTTATCTAACCCTCTAACAGCATGGTACTAACTCCTACTTCTGTCTCGTGTTTCGGAGTGAAGTGATGTGGAGAGCCCTGCCTGCCCTGGTGGTACGGGGGCTGTAGTCAGGAGGCAAGGAGGAGCAAAGGAGGAGAATATCGCCTCATCTGCTCACAACAAGCCCAGGCCACCTGGCATGGGAGCGGTGTGGGCATAGCAGGGAGCATGTGAATCACCCTGGATGTGCAGGTAGTGTTCCCAACTAAATCAGATAACGCTCTTTACTGTGCTGCATTCACCAGTAGCCTGTWATACACAATAATGGAGAAAAAGTCATGCTTTCACAATCACAAACAGTAACGGAGAGCTGTTTAGATGATGATCTGTGATTTTTTTAAATTAATGTGGTTCCACCAAGTATACGGGATTTTTTTTCACATTATCTTCAGTGAGAACGTATTTTTTGTTATGGTGTTGACCTGCCCGTAACATAATTGCAGTAGTCTTTGTTAGTTATGAAACTCTCCTCCATCTAATCTAAACATAATATATGCAGTTTCAGAGGTTTCTTAAACTGCAAACTCCTACTCAGCTGTTTTCCTGACTGGCAATCATGGCTCTACTGTGCCTTTATATTTGCACCCACTTTGTTTAATTTTCTGTCATTTTTAGTGTCATTGGTTATATTTGTCATTGTTTATGTTCTTATGTCCTTTCTTTCCCATGATGGGCTGCTGTTCAGATCACTGTGGCCCTGACTGTATGCAAGATTGAGACATCAGCAACTCCTCATTTCCACAGGCACTCAGCTCACTGGAAACAATCAGTAATTTTCAACAGACTGCCTAAGCAGTGAGAAAAAATATGCACCAAGGATAATAACTAAGCAAATATATTTCAAGTGATACATGGGAAGAGAAGTTTCATTTGACAAGTTAAGCAGAWGCAGCTATGGCCAATTTCTTTAATCTACTGGTACATGAGTGTTATGTTTAATTTTTAAGTGGTGTTTAGTTGTAGATTAGGAATTGGAAACAATTCAGTTGCTCATAGCAAACCACTTTCTGTTTCCTAATTTGGAATATTCTTCTGTGTTTCCAAGATGATGTTTATCCCCTAATTCTTCAAGTTCATATTACGTTCACACAAGTAATTTCAGAAGGCACATTCACTAGCTAACACCCATCTCCTCTTGCACTTGTACACTACACAACATTTATAATTAAGCCTCTTAGGAAATTAGCTGCATGCCCCATGATTAACTTCCCTTAATTCTTCATTGTTRAAGCTCAGTGCAAAGATCTCTGGAGTAATCAGCCCACCTTTCCATCAGGAAACATAGCATATAAATCAGTATTCACTAAGATACCATCCTAGCATGGAAAGTGAGTATTGGTGCCTTTATCACAGTCTAACAGGTCATACAGGCTTATCCAAAGCAAGCGTTTCCCAGCAGATGAGGCAGATAAAGCRAGTGATCAGAGGCTGTTGACACAGGGCACAGCATCTGTAATTAAGTCACTAGGGAAGCTGGCACGGAATGCTGTGACAAGGGTAGGATCCAATTTACACACAGCTTTCAGCAAATCTTAAAATGCWGTCTGAGTAAAACCCAGCCACTTCTGACTTGCTGTATGCTGGGAATTCATCAAATAGTGGTGAGAAAAGGGGGGTAGAGGGTGCACTGTTTATCAAACATGTGAATTGGACATATTTTAGTGGTTTTATGCTTGTGACTCTCTTTCCATGTCACTCAAGTTCTGTGAAGAAGAGGTGTGTATTTGTRTTGGAAATGCTGTAATGCATGGCACACTGAGACTATTAACTGCCTACCGTGACTGGTATTCCCTGTTCTGCAAGATTGGGAGGGAGAGAGCATATCCAATGAATAGAAATGGATCCTTGGGTTTTGGATCTTGAAGTGACCTTGACTCCACAAATCTCCTGAACAATTAAATTACAGAACAGTTGATTGNTTTTTTTTTTTTTTTTTTGGCACATGACAAGAGCAGAGGATTCACTGTGATTTACACAACCACCCTACTTCCTTTCAAATAAACTGTAAAACGAGCCCACGGCTTCGCAGGTGCTGGAGGCGAGGTGCAGGTCCTCCCTCTGCAGAACCMGTCTGCTGGGGGCTGGGTGCCACATCCGCAGCCTCTTCAGGGTTTTCTGCCAGCCCGGGAGGAGTTGCCACTCAAAAGGCTCGCTGCACGGTCAGTCCGCATACGACATAACCCTTATTTTTGGGATAGTCGATTATCATACCCGTGTTTGAACCTTCAACCAAGGTGTTGACAAAGGCGTGAAGCCTGCAACCGGCCACGTTGGTGTGCRATGGCAGCCCTTGGGCGGTAGCACAAGAGAGGCATTCCTGCCCTCACGCTCGCAGTAACGGATGGCGCCGCAGCTGCCTCAGGGCCGCGAGAGCGCCCCGGGAGACCCCTCCACGCCCACCCGGCCTCTCCGACGCCGAGCAAAATGGCGGCAAGCGCGRGCCCGGCCGCCGGTACAGCGCGCGCACCGCCCTCCGACGCGCGGGCCAATGGAATGAATGGGCTATAAATAGCGGCCAATGGGATGCCGGCTCTCGCTCTATATAAAAGAGGCGCGGCGGTGGTGCTGGGGCTTCACTCAGAGTCGAGCGGTGCAGTAAGCGGAACGTTGCGGTGGTTCTTCTTGTAGCTGCGAAGCCCTCGGTAAGTCCCGGGGCAGCTGAGCTGTTCTGCAGCCTTTAAACAAAGGATTTTGGTCTTTTTCCCCTTTTTTTTTCCTTTTTTTTTTTTTTTTTTTTTTTTTTTTTGTGGGGAACACCACCACAAAAGTATGATGTACTGTAAGAAAATGGTTTTAGAATATTTCTGATTCAAATTAAAAATAAAAAATTCGTGATTTACATTAAAAAAATCCACAGTCAGAATTATGTTTGCAGCTGAGGTAATCCAGTAATTTTACATTTATATTGTAATTTATTGAGGACTCTGGGTATAATTTTATTTATAATCATTTAGTACTTGTTTAGCCATGCATTATTTGGAATTTACACTATTGTGAAGCATGAGTATTGTGTGAAACAGTGTGTAGGGGAAGATTTTGTGAGGTTAAAAGTGCAGAGRAGACCAGGAGGGAGAGAGGATTTGTTCTTTGATCCGGAAGATAAGAGACTGGACTTGCACAGACGCCGAGCCCTTGGCTTCTCCTGGAGATCTGTATATTCAGCATCTCAGTCTACCAGACCTGGAATAACTCGGAAATCTGGATGGCAGCCAAACACAGCACATTTTTACTTGAAGCAGTCTAGGCTTTTTATTTTGCAATGGTTTCCTCTACATGTATATTMTTATTTTTAAGTCCTGAGCAGTTCTGTAAAGTGCACCTGCTTCTTGTTGTTAGGTGCTGGTTGAGGGTACTGGTCATGGTGCTGAAAGGATTGTGTTGGGGAAAGAGTTTCAGGTGACGTCTCCTGACATTCACAGCTGGTGTCAAAGAAAGCAACTCTGGGGCTCAGATCCGCATTCATGTGGATGACTACACTCTGTTTGGACAGGAGGATAAACATGGGGAGARCTGTGAGAAACGCGTCAGAGAAAGATAAAGATATTATTATGTAAAGGTGAAAGTCAATTCAAGATACTCATTCACATTGTTAATATATATTTATTTCTGCAAACAGCNGGGGCGCGAGGGGCGGCGCGGGGCAGGGGCGCAGCCGGGGCGGGGGGCGCGAGGAGCGGCGAGCGGCGCAGGTGCTCACCGGGCTGGCTGGGCTCTAAAACCAGATTAACCCGGTATTTAGCAGGGTAGTTACATACGCTCGCCCCGTCCAGGTCCCCTGAGGGAACCGTCTGTTGTGTAAGGGCTTGTCAGATGCTGCCCTCCCCGGCCAGGGAGCAGCCGTGGCTCCGCGGACGCGGAGGGCGCCGGCCGCTGTRGCTTCTCGGGATCCCCTCGCCCGGCAGCGGCGGGAGGAGGCGCGGCCGCGCACCGTGGGCGCAGCGGTGCCGCCCCGCTCACCTGCCGGCCGGCCCGGGGTCCCGGCGGGGCCGAGCACCCCCCAGCCCGCGGCGGCCCGGCCGCTCCCTCTGACCCGGAGCCGCGCGCGGGGTCTGCCCGGTGCTGCAACGGCCGCTCCGCGCGACCTTGGGYGCGTCCCCTCACCCGGGCGGTGCCCCGGGAGGCGGGAGAGCTTCTGCCCCTGCGGCCGGGAATGGTGGGGACGGGGCAAGGCTGGTGGAGATGAAGAACTTTTTTTCTTTTCTCCTTGGCGCTTGTGGAAGATGGTGTAGCAGCAAAGGTGTCAAAGGCGCGGGTGGAACATGAGCCAAGGTGACCTTCTGGGTGCCTGGCGTTCCCCAGGGTGATCCGGAGGCTGCCAAGCCCCCAGTGATAGGCTTCCCATCTTTCTCCCTTAGTGACTGCGGTAGGGTCAGCCATGCCCTTCTCAAACAGCCACAACCTCCTGAAGATGAAGCACAGTCCTGAGGAGGAGTACCCTGACTTGAAAGCTCACAACAATCACATGGCCAAGGTGCTGACCCCGGACCTGTACAAGAAATTGAGGGATAAACAGACTCCCAGTGGATTTACCCTGGATGATTGCATCCAGACTGGGGTAGACAACCCAGGTAATGGGATCGCTAGGTCTGCATAATGATCTGTTCTCCCTCATGACTGGAAGTGCTGCTTGACAATGGCACCCAAAGTTCTTGAGCTACTGAGGGGCAAATCTTATAAAGCACTAAGAGACTTTTCTAAAAGCATGGCTCTGTTAGGAGGCCATGTTTCCATCAAAGCTGTATTCCGTGCTGTGATCTGACATGTCAATTCCCAGACACTTCAATTATGTAACTGCTCTGCTAAATACTTTCAATCTGGAGAGAAAAAAAAAAAAGTGAAACCAAATGCATTCCAATTATAACTCAACCGGGGAGGGTGGGCAAAAAACAGTTGGTTTACCTGGCTATCCTGGTCTATTCCTGTTCCAGACTGGTTATGTGATGTTCTATAGCACTTCTATGAAAAAGGGGGAGCAGATGTGTTTACATGTTAACATTACAGTATTTATTTTTACTCCAGCAATATCAAAATGGCCCAACTAAATAATCAGAGACTGCCTCCTGATGAGGAGTACCCGGACCTGAGCACCCACAACAACCACATGGCCAAAGTTCTAACCCTGGATTTATACAAGAAACTGAGAGACAGAGTCACGCCCAGTGGCTTCACCCTGGATGATGTCATTCAGACTGGGGTTGATAATCCTGGTAAAATGCATTGAGAATATTCCGTGTGAACCAGCTGAAGTAACTGGTGCTTTTGAATATGGTGAYTTAAAACTGATCTTGTGAAAGTGGTATTTATGAGCAGACTACAGAAATATAGCTCTGTAGCAGAAGGAGCAAAAAGCAAAGCATGCTTGCTTGCAGCAAAGCATGATTGTTTAGATATAAAGTTCTATGCAATGATCCAAATTAGCTAGTGAAATTAGATGTGCTGTGCAAATTTGTCCTAAACCAAGCTTGACAAATGAGCATGGTTTAATGACAGCAGCTATGGGTTTCCATAGCACTGCATTTGACTAACTGAATGAAGTGTAAAATGTAGGGTCTCTCCAAATGTTTCTGTGTAAGAGTGAATTTCTAAGTGACTAGACTTGACACTAAAGAACTTGCCTGGTTAGTGCTGCACTGGAGTACAGCCAAATGTCACCCAAACTTAGTTCTTCTGACTTTGTTACCACTCCAGGCCATCCTTTCATAATGACAGTAGGATGCGTGGCTGGTGATGAAGAATCCTATGAGGTGTTCAAGGAGCTCTTTGATCCAGTTATTGAAGACAGGCATGGTGGTTACAAACCAAGTGATCAACACAAGACYGACCTGAATGCTGATAACCTGCAGGTACAAACTTTTGATCAATTATAGATTATTGGTCTGAGGACCAATAAGAAAGTTGTTGGCAGCTGCCTAAACTGGTTGCTCAGACTCTGTCCSCTTGCTTCCGCCAAGCATGGATGCTTTGGACTGGGAATCTGGTGTAATGAGCCTGTAGAGTTTACTGCTGTGGGATAGCAGTGGCTRGGTGCAGCCAGGCAGCTGGTGTGCAACAGAAGTCTGCTTCAGGTGCTGCTGCAACCTGGGTTGGTGCCCAACACCTTCAGTATGTATTTATTTCCATGAACTGTGGGCTGTAGTAGTCATGCTAAATAGCACTGTCCTACGAGTCAAGGACTGTCAGAAAATTTAAACACTTTTTTCTGTCTGATATTGGTTCTTAATTATCAGCTGATCATGTCATACTTTAGAATAGGTGTCATACTTTTACAGCTAGGAGTAAGGTTTCCTAATCATTTTATGTATTTCAAATGTTACTGTAAACTCTTGGAGTACCTAACACCGTGTTGATTAGCTAGCTATAGGTCATATTGAAAATAAGAGCCTTGGGAGAACAATAATGAGCAATGCTCACTTGCAGGAGTAAACTCTTAYGTAAACAAGGTTTTGCCTTGTGTTGATATCTTTAGATTGCAGATACGAAGGGATAACAAGCTCAGACCAGAGTCTGAAATGGACATAAAACTGATGTTCTGGTGATAGCCTTATCTTCTAGTATTACTTAGTAGCTGTAGCCTTGGCCTCAGAGCAAGAGTTAGGTTACACAGATTCTTGATGTAAGAATCTGTAATTCTTGAAATTGTAAGAATCTCCTAAGTGAGACATTGGTTTACGGGGACAAGTAGTCAATACTTCAGGTGTAAAGTGCATTCTTAAATGCACGGGAGCTGCATGTGTTACGGGAAGATACCTTGGTAACAGCATTGTACTCACGGCTTTCCTAATCTTATAGGGAGGTGATGACCTGGATCCCAATTATGTRCTCAGTTCCCGTGTCAGAACTGGCAGAAGCATCCGTGGATTCTGCCTTCCCCCGCACTGCAGTCGAGGAGAGAGGCGGGCTATCGAGAAGCTCTCTGTTGAAGGTAAAATGAGAGCTGGGTGCATCCGGGAAACAACTTCTGTCCTTTGTGCATGAGGTGTCCTTTGTAGTTTGAAAGTGGAGGCACTTGGCAAAAGCCAACTCCYTGGAGACTTAGTCTGAACATGGAGCTTTCCCTTGAAAAGGCTCATTACATTTGAGCTGCCTCAGCACTGCAGCTTGTGGCTGAGAGCACCTGGGAGAGGGAAGTTGGACTGCATTAAGTTGACCTCGCTGATGTCAAAAAAAGCTTCTGTCTGTGTGTGGGGAAAGAGCTTGGTTCATCAGGGCTCAAACCTGAAATGTAACAAGTATGTAGCAACTACAGGGCTTGAGTCATGGGGTGCAGTATTTTGTGGCTGCTTTTAATTGACTTCATTAACGCTAAACTCGGAGGTGTAGTCTTGCTCCAATCTGCAGCTGACTGGAATAAGCCCAGTGCTCCGTGTAACTCATCAGCTGGCTTTTTTTTTCCTATTRCCTCCCAGTGCTCAAAGGAGAAGTTGCAGAGCCTGAGAGTGTACTTGTTTCAAAACCTCTCAAGGGCAGGGTAACAGACCTTGGCTAGAATAATACTGCTTGTTACATTCATAACCTTGGTTCTCCTTTGAAGAAAAGCACTCTCTACTTGTACAGTTCAGCAGCAGTAACGATTCCATACTGCATGTAAGGGAACAAAGGCTGCTTGTATGAGCCTGGAAGGTGCAGACAAATCATATGATACTGCCTCAGGTTCTGTAATGCCACAAGGACATTGCCATTGCTGATGAAAGCAAGGGAGGAACCAGACCCAGCAGATCAGACATTGCCATAGTTAGTGTGAGGTCTCCAAATGGCTGGGAAAGTCTAGCACCTTTAGTCAATTCTAAAAGAGCCTCTCTCTTTCAGCTCTGGGTAGTCTGGATGGTGATCTCAAGGGGAAGTACTATGCTTTGAGGAACATGACTGATGCAGAGCAGCAGCAGCTGATTGATGACCACTTCTTGTTTGACAAGCCAGTTTCTCCTCTTCTGTTGGCATCTGGGATGGCACGAGACTGGCCTGATGCCAGAGGCATCTGGTGAGTATGTCTGTGAGGAAGCAGTTACAGAYGTCAAAAATTCTTGCAGTTTTGGTGGTGACTTGTACTGTTGGGCAAAATAGCAGTTTCTCATTTTGATGAGAAACTTTGATGAGAAACTTCTGTGGGGSAAGTTGCAGTTTAAGCAGCAGAATTTGGACAAGTGTTCTTATGCTGTAAGAACAAGCCAGCTTGGCTAGCCCAGAACCAGAGCCTGTCCTTCCAGCACAGATTAGTGAAGGACCAAACAAAAACTGAAGCTTATAGAAGTACATCACTTGTCAAGGAGCAGATAAGCTTCTACAGTCAGCTCTTTGCACAGGGTTGAGAGTAACTTGTGGTGCAAACCATGGGATCATCATAGCTCAGAGTTGATCCTGGATGCATTGTTACTCCCTTGCAGTGTCTTCACTCCTGCTGGCAGAAACTCRCTGGTGCTGGACTAGTATGGTTTTACCTGTACTAGTGATAAGATKTTCCCCCCTACCCCCAGAGACTGGGTGACAGGAGTTGACTGATGCAGAGGTGTGGAATGGAAAGGTTCTGCGTGTTTTAGATGTAGGTCACCTACATAAAACTCTGCATCTCAGGAACCTCTGCAGCATAATTAATTTGCTCCCTTTTTAAGCTAAGGGCTAGGTTTTTATCAACAGGGATACTCCAGTCTTATTACTGCAGCTGTTTCAGTGCAACCCAGAGGAAGCACGCTTTGTTTCTGTAGGTCACCTTTAAGATTGCATCATCTACCTGCAGATTGCCAGCATCAGATAGCGCTGTCATCTGAGTATGACTAATCTACAGCCTTGAAGTGTAATGTCTTGGTGTTGTTTGCATAAATAACTTTCCTCGGGTACTAGCTAATTTTTGATTCTAATCAAGTTCAGAAATTACCAGCATGATAATCTGATGATAGTACTTGCTGTCAGCTGCAAGCTGYGACAAGAGGGGGCCCATTGTTCAGAGGATTTTTATATAGCATCTCTGAAGAGCCCTGAACTAAAATTAATAGTGACAATAAGGTACAAAGTGCAGTTTGACAGAATCTGACAAAATTCTGCTAAAAGGGCTTTGTTACACATGGTGTCATTATGARCATTACTGTACAGGGCTCCCTCAAAATCTACTGGTGACCTTCCTGCAAATTGCTGAGCAAAAGAAACACCTTAAATTTGTTAACTGGGGCTACATGGGAGCTAGGGCTATGAGGGGGTTTCAGGTTTTGGTACTGTAAGACTAGCTAATGACATGTAATTACTCACTCTGTAAAGGCCAATCCAAATTACCTCTTGAAAAGAGCAGGGTAACAACTACCAGCTTAACTCAGGTCCTTGTGTGGGCACAAGAAAGAAGATCAATCTTGCTGAAGCAGCTGAGTGAGCCTCTTGAACTAAAAACTACAGTGATGAGCAATTTGGTGCTGTCTYTGAAATGTGAGTGGGAAAGACAGCAAATTGCTTGCTTTGTCTCCTAGGCACAATGATAACAAGACCTTCCTTGTTTGGATCAATGAGGAGGACCACCTTAGAGTTATTTCCATGCAGAAAGGTGGCAACATGAAGGAAGTATTTACCCGCTTCTGTACTGGATTAACAAAGGTAAAYCAGTATTGTCTGAGCTGCAGGCTCAAATGGTATATTGTTCTCTGGTTACAGCTGAGAATGCAGTTTCCAAGCCCCCTCTGGAGTCYTGCATGGTTGTGTTTCATAGTTTGGATATCTGTAAATACCCTGATGAGGTCTAGAGCTGTAAGGGCTCCAAAACACCTATACTAGCAAAAAGCCTTGTGGCTGTGAAATCTAAGACGTGTCCTCTTGATGTGGTGGCATCCTTATCCAAAGGTTTTTTTCTGTGTTTTAAAGAAATTCTACATAGCTCTCCAAAGCATTGAGACACCAGGGAGGTGGGGGGCGAAGTTGTTTGAATGTGGATGGGCAAAGCTGGGCTCAAGTTTTTTAGACTGGATGCTGTTCTTTGCTTGTGGTCCTGATACAAGCTTGAGCTTTACCAGCCCCTTTCCTGGGCCTAAGAGATGTGCCAGCTTGACTAAATCTAAAYGTACTAAATCCAACTTCCCTACAGATAGTGATATAAGTGTAGTTTTTAAACTTAGCCCCTCTCATTGCTAGAAGCAAGATGAAGGCCTTAAAAGCCCCTTGTTAGTGGCCCTTTTTTCCATAGGGGAGGGGGCTTATGTGGCTGAAATAGCTGTTCGGACTATTGTGGCTGTTGCTGGGTGACTGAAGCTGCAGATGAGCTCTACTGGATGTCCTATAATCTTAAGGCAGAGAACAATCTCTAAACATTTGTTCTTTCTATTTATAGATTGAAAGTCTCTTCAAGGCCAAAAACTATGAGTTCATGTGGAATGAACACTTGGGCTACATCCTGACCTGTCCATCCAACCTTGGAACAGGGCTTCGTGCTGGTGTGCACATCAAAATCCCACACCTTGGGAAACATGAGAAATTTGGAGAAGTCCTCAAGAGGCTTCGGCTGCAGAAACGGGGCACAGGTGAGAGATGGTAACACTGATGCCTGAGTCAGTCTGTCCTAAGACACCAGCAAAAACCTGCTTATGGCCAGAGCCCTGTCTTGGTTCACATTGTTGGTGCCTGTCGCACCCATCCAAAAGGTACCCCTGGAAAGCACATGGAGAGAACAAAGCCTTAAAATGGTATAGAGGAGAAGCTGAAGATGCCAGTGCTCTACTTGTACTGTGTCTGGCTATCTGGTCTTGTGTGTCATGCTGAGCACCAGGTCAGGTGGACTTTGTGGCAGCTGTTCCCATTGTAAGCAAGGATGGGAATTCTTGTTTAACTTCTGGCTGGGAGATGGCTCCACTGGGTACTTGTGACCTCAGGTTAGATAGCTCATGGGTCAGAAGAATCAAGAGCTGGCCTCTTGGTATGTTCTGTGGTTCTTGTTGGTAATTGCACATGGCCTTATCTTCATGCATGTAGGAGGAGGCACCAGTGGCAGCTTGTAGAGAATGGTCCTGCGGTATTCCTACCTCAGTCTAGGGAGGAAGGAAAGGTGGACTCACCTGCTCTAGCTGAGGTCAATGTTGTAACTGAATCTCTTGCTGCAGGTGGTGTGGACACAGCTGCTGTTGGAGGAGTGTTTGATGTCTCCAATGCTGATCGTCTTGGCTTCTCTGAGGTGGAGCTGGTGCAGATGGTGGTGGATGGTGTGAAGCTTCTCATTGAAATGGAGAAACGCCTTGAAAAAGGCCAGTCCATTGATGACCTCATGCCAGCTCAGAAATAAAGCACTTTATTCTCATGCTTCCTAACTTATTGGATGAATAATAAAATGTCACTCCAATTCAAACCCTTGGGGTTAGAGCCCACTTAGTTACACTGTAGAGAAGTCTTCCATCCATCTGTGTTAGAGTTTATTTTTTTTTGATGGTTGAGATGTTGCTGAAAATGAAATAAACTATTGTTTGGCCTGAGCTGTCTTAGATATGTTAACTGAATGTTTTTGAGATACAAGTGATTTGGTTTTCATAGTTATGCTAGATGGTCTGGTTTTGTGTGCAAGCACATATTCCTAGGTGTGCTGCTGCAGACCAGCTGAGTTGAAATGTTAAAGCAGTTTTTGAAAGTTGAACCTTTTAACTTGATTGTAGTTGCTGTAAATTTGAGAACTAGTGTTAAACATGAGTCACTGCAAACATGCCCTACCTCCAAGGCTTTGACTTGTGCATCTGCTCATGCCAACTGTAAAATGTCATTATCCAGAGTACTGCAAGCCAGGCTGGCTCCTGTAAGGGAGAGGGGACAAGGCTSGGCAATGGAGGGCTCCCCTGAGGGGCTCTCTGGGGGCTGTGGGGCAAGGCTCTGAGGTCAGATTGCAGCCTATGGTATTACTGACCCTGAGCTGCTGTGTGGGGAGAAGCTTGTGTTCAATCTTGGGCTGTGCAGAGAGCTGGTGTAAACAACCAGCTGCTCTTCTAAGGGTAAGGAGGTGAAACCTAGATTAATTCAGCCCATGCCTCTCCCAGAACGATTTTGGCTCAGCCAGGGCAGAGATGGGGGCTGGAAGCTACCACTTAGAGGAAAATACCAGCTAACTAGCTTTAGTCAGCTGACTTTTGTTGGCTTATGCACCAGTTGCCCCATGAACCTAAAAATGAGCAGTATACTCAATTAAAACATGCTAAACAGTTTTTTCCCAAGCTGGGCYGGGCTTGCAAGCTCAGGTAGTTCTCTGGGTGTGAGCTCAAGATTGCATCAAGCAGGTCTGCTCTCCAGCATAGCTGTACATGTATGCTTGCTGTGTGGAAGCATCATGTTATTARCATACAAGAGCAGCATTTTACACAGATATTGCGAACTAGGAGCATCAGACCCTTTGAAAGAAAAGGGAAAGAACAGCCTTTGCAGCTSATGCAGATGCACCTGCTCGACAGCTCTACCCACTGCTAGAATCCAGCTTTGATGGAGGGAGCGTGATGAGAGGTTGATGCAGAGCTTCATGGCGTGCAGCTTTATATATGTTTGCGTAGATAACTGAAGCTTTTGTAAAGGCTGTGATATTTCTAAGGCTGTGATTGCAGGCTGTCATTTAGCTGAAAAGATGATTCCAGCTGGGGTAAGCTAATTTAATTTTGGTGAGAAAAGGCTGAGTGAACATCTCAGATAAGATTTTTTTTTTTCTTTTAATACAGCTTTCTATGTTTCAAAGTTAACTGTGTGGGGGAGAGGAGATCATATGTAAGAGTTTTGTTCTGTGCTGGATGTTCCTGTATTTGAGTTAAGCAGCAGAGGGATTTTCTGTACAAAGCTTGTGAGAGCAGGGAAGAGAAAATGGTGCAAGAGACAACCGGTTGGTTCTGTATATTCTTTAGATCCCCCATGCTGTGCTTCATGTCACTGTTCACAGACGCTTGGCAAATAGCTGGTTTTGCTTCTTGTAATCAGAGAATGTTCATTTAGTGGTGCCTCTCCTCAACACAGCGTTGTTACTGCGCTCACAGCAATTACCTAATGGAAGGAGTTGCCTGAAAACTTGTCTATTTTTTTCTAGCTATATCAGCTGGACTAATAAAAACATTTCTCTCTCTATGCATCTTGTTTCTCCTATGTTCTTAACCCATCAGAGCTGTTACATCTGTGTGCTTTCAGCCCCACAGTCTGAGCTGGCTAAATAATTGCAGCAAGCCAGTCTTTAATGCCTACATCCAACTAGAAAATACTTACTTTTGTTTGGTTTTCTTTCCCACCCACCACCTTTGCTGTGTTTCCTCCTGCTGCTACCATGCGACCATGCTTTTGTTTCAACTTGTACAAAGCAATTGTAAATATTCCAGAGAAAGAATGTGTCCTTGCAAAAGGCTGGGCACTGACCAACCCCAGGTGGGACTTGCTAAAAATCTCTTATCAAGAGAGAAATTAAACCTCCTGCCCCTCACCTTAAAAGCTTTGTTTGGGTCTTTGGCATTACTCACTGTTGTGCCTTGGGTGCCCATCATGAATTAGATGGAGCAGCCACTTGCTTGTGCCCTGGGCACTCAAAAATGGTGCCAGGTGGTGGCAGGCTGCCAAGGGGTAGGATACCTGGCCTTAAACCCAGGGAAGGAGAGGGGTGTATCAGTCAGTGCTTTATCCAGACAAACTGCAATTACTTACGTGTGCCCCACAGCTTTTAAAAAGGAACCATGTGGCTCTTGTTCTCATCACACCCCATGGTGATGGCAGTGTTCCTCACCAGGGCTGGAGTGGGGACTCCTCTGTTGGCCCCAGCAGTGCTGGGGGTGTGGGCTGGGGAAGGAGAGGGGTCAGGAGCTCTTAGGGCCGTCTCTGGGGCTTTCCCATGACATTTCAGCTGGGCTTTTCTCATCCACGGATTGGGGAGCAGGGATGGTTACTGCCATCCTGCTGCTGCGAGGCAGTGCTTTGTGCTGTCCTTTCACTACCCCTGCTCCCACAGGCTGGCACCTTGTCCCTCACAGCACAACTTCTACAATATATTCAAGGGGAATTTCTGTTTGTCATTATCTTTTCCTGCTGAGTCTTTCTGCTTCCCTCAGGGAGCAGCTGCCCAGCCCTGGGCGGTGTGCTGCCAAGCCTCACCTCTGGACATGTATGGCACAGGCAGCAGCCTGCTGGCACCCCAGGGTCTTTGCTCAAGAAATGAAGCTGCTTGGGAAACCATTTGCCTTTCCTTTTACACTCACTGGCAGCAGACCGCCCATAAATGCTCTTTATCCCACTTCCCTGCTATCTACTGGAAAATGATTCATGGTGTCTCACTCTCTTGTGGACTCAGCACCACGGCATCCCTGGGCTCTCAGCCCTGGCCTGGGAGGCTCCCAGCCCTCAGTGAAATGCTCAAGCTCCCTGCACGCTCCCTTGTGCCCCTGGCCTGGTGAGGGGGCAGAACGGCTGCTTCCCAAGCAGCTCCAGGTGCTCCAGGGAGGCTCCTGCAAACCSTGCCTGCTCTCTCACAAAAACAAGGCATGGAGCAAGGTGGTTTTACCTGCTGGATGCCTGGTGAGTGCCCTGCCTGGGGCACAGGAGGCTCCTGCTCCAGTCCTGCTCTGCACAGAGGATTCTTGCTCAGCTCCAACCACCGCCGAGGGCAGGGCAATGCTTTCCTCCAGCTTTCCATTTTGCTCAGCATCCATTGCTAGGCCAAGAAGGAAGAGGAAGGTGCTATTGCCTAATGTCTCCGGCACTCACCTGGGAGGGTTTAGGCCCCAGCCTGTCCTCAGATGAGCATTACCATATTTTTACGCAACATGGAATAACTTGAGCAGAAGTCTTTGAGACTTTATTCTTTTCTCCGCCCACCCACCCACACACAAAAAATGTGGTCATGTGGTAGGCAGGGCGCTCTTCTGAGGATGGAGATGGCATCACAGGCTTTTCATCTCCTGTTTGCTTTGCTTTTCCCCTGGGGAAGCATCAGGCCAGCAGGTTCCTTTGGCTGCTCTGCATTCCTCTGGCTAGTCTGCCTTCCCACCTCTCCTAAAAAAATAAAAAGATACAAAGCTGGAAAGAGCCTGGGTGAAATCTCCAGCTCTCCACCAGTGGGACAGGGCATGTCTCCCACCATTATAGGACTTTGTYGGGTTTTATTTGTCCCCAGTGGAGGGGGAGCCCAGCCCAGCTACGGAGAACACCCCATCCCACATGAGATGAGACATAAATTACAACTGGGCCTCTGGCATTGCTTGACCCTCTTCCCCTGGTTATAATGTTAGGATTTATTTTCTTACACAGAAATCATACAAGCCCCTGACCAGCTGCAGTTCAAGGCACAGGCCACTTGCTCTGGGTTCCCAGTCCCCCAGCACCTTGCTGGCCACAAGCCACTGGCCAGCAGTGAGGGCTGCCCAGGGTGTTGGTACTGAACCACTGGGCTTTACCCTTGGTTTGAAGCACCAGCTGGGTTTTTTTTCTTTCCTGTCCAAATGCTGCACAGGGCCAGGCTGAGTGTGCCAGGTGAGAAAGTAGTACCTGCTACACCCACAGTGTGGGTCTAGCGATTAAATCGGCAGCGTGAGCTCAGCCTGCGATTGACAATTAACAGGGAAAGTCTGCAGTATCAGACAGGATAAAAATAAACTCAGATGCATCCAAACCTACCAAAGATTTTTGTTTTTCTCCTCCAGCCAGTGAGTAAGACTCTGCGAAACTGTTTATATATATATATGCACATATATATACACATCCATATGTGAATTAAACTTTCAAAGGGCAAAATGCCTCAYGCTCAACGTCCAGGAAAACCAGTAGAAAAATATGAAGATTTAAGTTTTTAATAAATGTGAAAAGTTCAGCTAAAAATATACTAGAATGGGTAACCCTGAGCTTTCCTCGATGCAATTTCAGAATAAAACCAGAAATTTTCATTTTACGGAAATACATGCAAGCTCCAGATCTTTGCAAAGACCTCAGCTTTTCTCTGTGTTTCGTGCAGGTGGGTGTGAGGTTTGCCTGACAGCTGCAGTCTGGTTGCTTTTTCCATATCCATTATTGATGACTGGAGAGTGAAACTGAGAATAACCTGGCTGAAGAGCCTTGAAAGTGTCAGCTTATATTTTTGCAGTGACTTACTGTGATGGTGTTTGATGTTAGCACTCGAGCACAGCAAAGCTTTCCTGGATTACTTGGGAAAGAGTGAGATTGGAAAATTACTGAATTAACTTGCCCAAAACCCCGTGCCTGGTCCAGCAGAGCAGTGAGGGCATGCACTGAGGGCAGGTTTGCTGGGGTGTAAATGGAGTGTGCAGTTCAAATGCTGCTGCACATCCAAACTGCAGCGAAGCTGGAGGGGAAACCAGCGGCAGGGTCAGCTCTAGTGCCAGCTCTGCCCATGGCAGCTGATGGAGGCTGGGCACTGSTTCGGCACAGAGGTGGCTTCTCCTGCTTTGCTGTCCCCTGGCCAGGGACAGGCTGGAGGCAGTGAACGCAAACGGGGTGGCTTTGGGGCACGCCTGGTGAA